CGTATATAAGCGAATATTAAAAGTATATTAATACGTTATTAAACGTATTAAACGTTATATTACACAACATTTGAGACAAGACATTGTTAGTTCAGACCTCAACAAGTTGTATTAAAATGCTGCGAGTAACTTCTTTGTGAATACGCTTCAGTAAGCACTTCTGAAACGGAGTCCTCTCTGCGCGTCAGCTAACCTTGCTGCAGATTGTGATGGAATATTGCCCAGGTGGTTCGTTAAAAAATCTGCTTATTGACAAAAAGGAAGCAATTAAACCAGTGGAGAGGAATATTTTTTTGTACGAAGCAGCCAAAGCTTTGCGGCATTTGCAACTCAAAAAGTGTGTTCACAGGTGGTAAGAAGCTACCTCTTTCTCCCATTCTTAGGGCCACGTGCCCAAGCCTACCAGCGAGTCAGAAAATAACTTAATAAACCTGGATTATTTTTGTTCTCAAACTGTTGTCAAAGGGCGCAGTATTTATTAAAAAATAAAACAAAACACTTTCAGTTCAACAAATTAAACGTGAATTACAGTTATCGCTTAGTGAATATTCAATTTTCTCGAAAATACCAGATTCCAAAACACTAGATACCATAATTGTCAGAACCGCTCTTTTCCAGCACTCCTTCCTAGCCTCTTCTTCCAGGAGCTTCAACATTTCGGTCTAGCAACTGTCCTAAGCCTCCTTGGGCCAAGACAGAAATAAAAAAGCGCAATTAATGCTTGACCGTTGAAAAAATTCATTTTCGAATGCTGTCGAGAACTCTCGACACAAACTATCGCTGAGAAGTGAGGTCGCATTAGTGACAGACTAGCCGTCCAGAGTTATTTATCATCTGCTTATCAATACCAACATTTCCAGGGATGTTGCTGCACGAAATTGTTTGATTGGTATAAGCGGTTCATTAAAATTGTCCGATTTTGGCTTGAGTAAGCCACTGGAAGAGCTAAAGTATAAGTTCATTTTCCTTGTATTCAGATTTCAACTAGTAAAATCCTCGCTTTATTCCGTTTTTTAACTATGATTCCTCTTTAAGATCTTTTCTATTTGCTTTTTTTGTCGTTGACAGCGAAGACGCTCAAATAATTCAGAAGAACAAACATTGACGATGAGAATATAGCGTGGCCGATTCCGTGGATGGCGCCCGAAACACTTTCAAAGAGACCTAAATTCACGACCAAAAGTGATGTATATGCATTTGGAGTACTCATATATGAGGTTAGTTACGAGTTATTCAAAGTGACTATTAAGACGCTCTTAGTGCATTTTGTCGCGCATCCCTGCTCATTTGATCCCTGCTGCTCGTTTATTTCGTAATATGAGATATGCTATCCACGAAGCGTAAATAGAGTGGTGCGTCTACCTTTCCAGTTCGTTATTTGAAGCGCCTCTTTTTACAAATGCCAGCTAATTAAGCTTTCAGAAGGTTTTAGGTTTATTCATGCGGTGGTAAACCATGGCCTAATGTTGCAGCAGCAGAAGAGATCATTCCTATTGTGCGGAAAGGAAAAATGATGGCAACACCACCTTTACTGAATGAAAAAAGCGTGGAAGATGTATGTATTAGAAACAGCTGGGAGAAATTTTGTCTGAAATTTTTGGATAAACTGAAAAATACCAATGAATTTATGAAAAATTTCTGAAACAAACATTTAACTCATCCAAGCGTTTAAGCCTCTCCAATTAGCTACAGTCCGACTTTGAAACGCAATCGTTTTTTCTTGCGGAGCTTGAGATGCTTTCCATAGGATGACTCCTAACTATGCAGCTGGCAACATCTTCGTTTGCGCTGACCAGTGCCGCATTATACATTGGTCAGCGTGATACTAACACTGACGTTTGTTTTTTCCCCTCACTTTTTGGACTACTGGACCATAAAAAATTACAGAAAGAATATAATTAGAAAATTATTAGGAAATATAAAAATTTATG